AAAGTCGTGATATTCGACTAAAGAGTCGAACACCGTAAATATAATTTGGCAAAGAATTTATCGCCTCAAATATCCCTTTAACCAGTCGGATCTTGCAGCCTGATTTTATTGTTAGAAGGCGTATTTGTCAGTCAAAATGTCAAGTTTGTGGTCCACAGATGGAAGTGACGACAGTTGTGAATTTGAAGACAACTGAATTAACAGAATGTTGCAGTTATGTTAAGTTTGACATAATAATCTGGAACCGGATCGAACCTTGCCCTAATTTTCTGAGATAAAAACACTTGCTTTCCTTGTTAAAGAATCAAACACAGGTGACATTTTTCTATCGAGAAAGCGGGAAGTTTCGATGGACGAAGTATTCTTTCATGTGGACCCTGTTTCTGTGTTGTCACTGTGTAAATATAAGTTGTATGTATGTAGCCTATTATACTGAAGACGGCCGAACTTCTAGTTATCTCCTACTTCTGAAAGCGCTGCTTTCGAGAACTTACACTTGCAAGTCCCCCTGCCAACTCATTTGCCAAATCGTGAGATTAGATGTTCCATTAAATAATAGCCGATTTTTATTCAAATTTGGCGACTGTATTTCCGCTTTCAGCCATTCACATCTATATTTCATGTCCTCTTATTACTGTTCTCTTTCCACATATTTTCCTCAGACGAGCCAAACTTTAGACGTTCTGAATGCAAACTATTTACTCGCATCACTAATTATAATTAGAGTTAAATTGCGTCCTACAGTTGGTTCCCCTGACTCGGATCAGAGCAAACCCAACTTCCAGAGGTGACGGACTCTCTCTTGCTACGAGACACTGCCTCGCTTATTTCTAAGAAGTACAGTGGTAAATGCTTCAGCCGGTGTAATTACAGCGCGACGCGTGTTCTTGCTCCTGAAAGAGACGCTTAATTGCGGAATGCTGGCTCCGGATGAAGGCGACTGCGAGGTAATTATACGTCACACGTTCGCCGTGCAACTCGCAAGTCAGAACACTCCATATCTGTCGCACTGGCGACCTCGCAACTGTGAAGACAATGGGACCAACTGGTCTTACGATAGAAAGGATTGGGAGGCAGAATGAAGGAACGGAAGCAGAAGAGAGAGAACAGCGAAGAACATTTCTCTCAAAGTTTTCATGCCAAATGAACTATAAAAACAGTAGTGCAAGGTACGGTAAAGATAACGCCCTTACCATTTATAACGCACAATGCTATGATGGTGTATGGGGTGAGTGAATACATAGCTCCATGCATTGTAAGGTTCATTTTACAGGAGCATTTGTAGCGCGCTAATTTTGTGGCATGTCGTACTATCCCAGTAATTTAAATAGAGCTGTTTCCACACAGCCGCCTACTGATCAATGATTCGCTAAGATGCGCCATGAACACTCGTGGAAAGGGAACCTTAAGCTCGGCGATAGGTGGAGGTGAGCTGTCAGCTTCACATCCCCGTGGCTTTACCCCCGGAGACATCCTCTTATATCCATTGCGTAATAGGCTGCTTGAGTCCCAGAACCGGTCTCACGGCTGTGGAGAACAAACAATTCTCGTGTCTGCTGAGTTCCACAGCCGTTTGGCCCACAGCCGACTCACCATACTGACCGAGTTATCTCGTCTCACTGTACACGTAAGATCTATCATACTTTGTGACCAGTAATGATTTCGGGAGGCGACTGAATACAGAGGTGTTACCCTCCCAATTTGGTTGTACTCCCAGTCATTCGGCTAATAACGGACGTGACAACGATGACAACAACCACAACAACAACAACAAAAAGATGCAATGGCAGCAGCTTATACAAATAGAGGAATCGGCTTTGGTTTTACACGAGCGAGATTTATGTTTATGTTTATTGAAATAAAATTTACTGCATGTAAGTTGCATGAAATATGGACAGAATTGTTATTTATCTGCATTATTTATTTTTATACGTATTAATGTGTCTTAAACGTAGCAATTTTTTAAGACTGATTCAAAGTGTGACATATCTTTAAATCTTTTTCATAATATTACACTGTTTGTCGTGGTTCAGAATACAGACCGTTTCTTTTTAATTCGCTTAGTGGGGGGTGGAGTCAAACTGGGTCCACTCGGCACGGCGGCCACTGATTGGCCTATTGTATCCTGCCCCGGGTAATTATGATGATGGTGCAATTAGTGGAATGAAGATTGGCAGGGGAAACCGAAGCACTCGAAGAAAACCCGCCCCAGCGCCACTTTGCCCACCACAAATCCCACTTGACCAGACTTGGGCTCGAACCCGGGCCGCCGAGTTGGTAAGCCAGCGTCTAACCACTTGAGCTATGGCGCGGCCTTATACAGACCGGTTGCTGAGGTATAACAGCGTTCCTTCAAAAATTTTTTTAATGCGAAGTAAATCCGCCAAGAGAGCAGTTTCTTTTACACTGGGAGTTTCGTTGCGTTATTCGTCACGGCCTGATACTGCAAGTTTTGCTCTTTTCGAAGTAAACAGGAGGAATACAATGAGTACATTTCTGAATTAAAATATCCAGCTCAGAATACAACAATAGGATCACCAATCAACAAACTCCTAACCCATCCAGCACACACTGGTCAACCATGAACCCACCAACATATCCTCTTCACCAACGTGATACCACCACAAATCCAAGCGACACAGTGGCAACTGTCCCCCAACTACTACATAACACCAGTACAACGACAAATGCAACCACACAATATGAATTACATAAACAACGAAGACAGAGGTCAACACATACAAAAAATTACTTCATTCAGCGAAGAAGAAGAGGAAGAAGAAACACAGAAAAATAACAACAACAAATGACAAACAATCCGAAGCACAAAGAGAAAAAAAACCAATCAACTAAAAATCACCACAAATAACATACAAACCAACAACCGATACGACCCACTATCTCAACAACCAGGAACCTCAAGCAATGAAATTACCATAACGTCAAAAGTACCTAAACCGCCTCCAACATTCGTTCATGGGGTACAAAATTACTCCGAAACGATAAAACAAATCCAAAAAATAGCCGAACAAGAACAATACTTCACCAAAAGTCTAGCAAACAACACTGTCAAAATAAATTCAACGAACAAAAAATATACCACCACACTTACCAACTGAAAGAAGAACGAGCATACAGAATAGTAATAAGATACCTTCATCACTCAACAAAAATAGAAGACACAAAACAAGAACTAGCTGAACTAGGACACAGAATCAGAAATATAATCAACGTATAATATGAAGCTACTAAAGAGCCATTGAACCTATTCTTTGTAGACCTAGAACCAGCTCAAAACAACAAAAAGATCTACAAAATAACATGACTCAAAAATAGAATAGTAAAAATAGAACCCCCCCCCACTCAAACAAAACAAATATAATCCAGTGTACGAGATGTCAACAGTACGGCAATACAAAAACATACTGCAATAAGCCATATGCGGTGGCCCACACAACACGACAAACTGCAAGAAGACAAGGGAAACACCAGCCAGATGCGCACTATGCAGAGGAAATCANGATACCTTCATCACTCAACAAAAATAGAAGACACAAAACAAGAACTAGCTGAACTAGGACACAGAATCAGAAATATAATCAACGTATAATATGAAGCTACTAAAGAGCCATTGAACCTATTCTTTGTAGACCTAGAACCAGCTCAAAACAACAAAAAGATCTACAAAATAACATGACTCAAAAATAGAATAGTAAAAATAGAACCCCCCCCCACTCAAACAAAACAAATATAATCCAGTGTACGAGATGTCAACAGTACGGCAATACAAAAACATACTGCAATAAGCCATATGCGGTGGCCCACACAACACGACAAACTGCAAGAAGACAAGGGAAACACCAGCCAGATGCGCACTATGCAGAGGAAATCACCCCGCAAACTGCAGAGGATGTGAACACTTTCGTAAGCTAACCAAAGGCACCAGCAAAAGCTTTTCCCAAAGACCCTCTACTCCAGCAATCTACACAAATGAATCCTACACGAGAAATATACAACCTCTAGAAATAACCCAACCCAGAAGCTACGCAGAAATCACAAACCGAAATTTAACCCAAACAGAAGAAACAACTAACATACTAGAAAATCACTCCAACCACTACTGCAACCTCATGAAAATCGAAGATTCAAAAGAATTTGGCCATCAGATCTAACGAACTGAGGAAAACATCACTGGATGTTTATTCCGCACATGCCAGAAGATTGTACAATAAATAGTTACTAACGTGTACACCAATCAGCACATTGACTTACAGATTGTACAGTATGATTGTCACTAAAGGAGAGAACTATCAATGATGGCCTCATAAACATTGTATCAATTAACAAAGAAGCAAAAGGAAAATCCTTTTGTGTTCAGACTGCATGGAAAACAGAGTTGATTCTTTTAATATATTGCTCTATTATAATATTATTTTGAAGCATGTATACAACATTTTTTAACCTAATTTTCATTTAATATATATAAAATCAGTAAACCTTGTACACTTAATACCCACTATTTATTCAATTAAATTAAATTCGTGTTTATTTACATAGAAACTTAACAGCACAGAGGCCAATTACAAAGTTAGCATGAGTACATAGAAATAGAGAAATATAATTAAAGAACAATTATAACCAGCTTCAGCATAATCAGGTAACAGTAAATCGTTGCCAGCGAATTTAATGCTTATTTATCAGAAAGGGAGAGCTCGTCATAGTCTTAATTATTTCATGTGCTCAGCGGAAGGGATAAGTTTACACTGCATCTTTCTACCCTCTTGTCTGATAACGAACTCAGTTCCGCCTATCGCCTGTCCCCACATCTCGAGGACTGAAATGTAGTATATTTCATTCTCTTTAAACGAATACAAGTTTCTAAACGCTCTCTTAAATATTCCTTTGGCAGTAAATCATTTAAAATGGAGCGGTGTCTTTGCCGTTGGCATCTGATAATTTAATTTAAATTGCTGTCACATGTTCTAATTGTGTGGTTTCAGCCTGTAACTGCAACCTGCACGCCAGACGTTGCCGTTTCAACATGGAGCTGTACAAATTGTCGGGGCGCGTGAGTGGAGGCGTCTGCCTGAAGTGCCGCCACTTTACCGCGGGGAGGCACTGCCATTACTGCAAGGAAGGCTACTACAGGGACCCAACCAAGCCCATCACACACAGGAAGGCGTGCAAAGGTAGGCACATGCTCTTACGTCACTTCCTGCTGCTCGACTTTCTAGTAGAGATTGGTCGTCGGGACTTCGCTGAATCGCAGAAAGGGAACCTCATGAAGACGGCACAAAATACGAGGTCAGATAATCAGGTAACTAGGCTAACCAACTCTATAGGAAATGCGTTAGGGCCCCAATACACACACAGTTTGGCCTTCAGTTCGGCCTGCACAGTTGAAGACTGAGAGGCAAAACTGACGTGTGTATTGCGGCCGGCCGGCCAATCGTTTGGACTGTTGTCCTGTGGGAAACCCTTCAGTCCGTCAGTTCTGCCTGCAGGACCGTAGCACGTGACGTGTGTGACTCAACTTTATAGGCTGGAAGACCGTAATTGTGGCATGAAGCCTGCCGCTTTATCTGCTCATGTATGGGGAGGAAAGGGAGGGGGTAAACTGTCACAGTTTTGCCTGTAAGGTCGATCGGAAGGCCAAACTGTGTGTGTATGGGGGGCCTTAGTGACATTATGCTAACAGCTGACCTTGCCAAGAAATTCCCTATTTGTTCTGGCAATAAGAAAGATAAATCCAAGAATACTATCTTCTGAGAAGTCACACCGAGCATTCTGGTATATGTATGCTTTTTCGTAGGAAAATGTTGCCTCCATCTTCAGGCAGATCTTTGAACAATTGATATTATGTGGGAAGAGAAGGGGCAGGGTCCCTGAGAACAAGAAAGGAGTAAAGAGGAAAACGAAGGGGTCGTCAACCCTTCGAATTTCTTCAGAATCCAGAACTTCCCTTTCTTTCATGCTTACCGCTTTCTCTTATTTTCGGTAACTCTTTTACCGTGAAGAAGGGAGAAGCAGGTTCCTGACTCGGGCCGTCTACTGCTCTCACCAACTTAGACCACCTGAGCCTCACCTCACACTGAATGGACGGACGCAACATTCCCTTCGTGAACCATGCAAAATATCTCGATGTAATCTTCGATAAGAGGATTATATGGAGACTGCACATAGAAGTGGTTGAAGCCAAGGCTTTCAGAAAATTCCCTATTTAAAAGCGAGCGGTTAAGTGCTAACATCAAACTAACCCTCCATAAAGCACTAATTAGATAAGTAATGACTTATGCTTACCCCGCCTGGGAATTTGCTGCAGATACCCACATTCTGAATTTCAGCAAAACAAGGTTCTCCGCACAGTTAGTAAATTTCCATGATGCTCATCGGTCCGCGATTTGCACATGACTTTCCAAACACCGTACATTTATGATTACATAACAAAATTGTGCAGGCAACAAGTATAGATCATACAAAATCATGAAAATGACAATGTTCGCGACATAGGAAAAGTTGTAGCCCGACACAGAAAATATAAGAGGCTTAAACTTGGCGGCGGTAAAGCGTACGATTGTTAAAGTGATTAGGCAACCGTTGTAACATGAGCTACATGAGTTACGGCACGATCTGCTGACAGAGGCTTTGTACAATTGTTTATACATATATATTGGAGTTGCATGTAAAACTGTAAATAGTATGTGTCCACCAGGAACCGGGTTCTTGATAGACGACTACGTAGAATTCCGACATCTAAAATTGTAGATATAAATGACATGCACTACTGACTATGACCGCGGTAAACGACAGACCCGTCCTGGCGTCAGAGGTGGCTCCCTACATCGACAAAACCGCAACTGTTTGTCAGTAACAAAACTCTGGGCTTGGGCCCCAGATGGGGCTTGACACCAAGACTGACTGGCTGACTGGCCGTCGTTTCGTCACGAGACTTTGAATTTGACTATTTAGTTAGTTAACAGAGAGTCGACAGTTCGAGCAATGAGTTAGTTGTGAGATGCTTTTGAGCAGGAACCAACGTACGCACGACAACAGAAGAATCTCCATTGTTGAAACCTTAACCAAGCAACGACTAGCGGAGACTATAACAGACCGAGACTCAGCGTGTGCTACAGTGATTTGTTAAGTGTGTAGATCTGCGAAAATATTATAGTTACTTGTAGTAAGGAGTTATAAGTGTTCAATAAATCCACTTATCAATACAGACTCCGGGTCTAGTCACTAACACTTCACTAACCAAGTTTGAGATCTCAAATCTCGGACGGGACCTATCCTGAGGTCTTTGGTGGTCTTCCTCAGTTCATCCAGGGAAATGCCCCAGTATCACTTCAAATTGGGGGAGTAATGGATTCTGCTACATCTTTTGCAATTCATTATTCAATAATTAGACGCTATATATCCTGAACTACTGATAGCGTTGTTATATTTACTTACTTAATCCGTTCCTCTTATACCTTTACGGTGTCGAGGTTTTTTTTTTTCATTTTGATCATTTACAGACGGTAGGACTCCTTGGAAGAGTGATCAGCTCGTCGCAAGGCCTCTAACTAAACACAGGACAACACAAACATAGAATAAACACATAGACATACCAAGCACACATGCCTTGTGTAAGATTCGAACCCACGATCCCGGCTTCTGAGCGAGCGAAGACACTACATGCCTTAGACCGCTCGGCGTTGTTACAGATACCACATATAAATAAATAAAATTCATTGCCACCACCATGAGAACCTCAAGGTCATCTGCCATTAAGATTATGTACACATCTGTGTTAGTTGCGATACCGTATTGCCAGGAAATGCATTGACGCGAGGCGGTTCCATTCTCACTGCAACCCGTGAAGTTACTGTTTCGTGTTGAACCCTCGTTACACAGCCTGGCCGCGCTCTCAAAGCGTATGCCCCCAACCTCAACTGTTGTTCATTCATTCATCTGTAATCTGTCAAGACGACAGGTCCACAGTCCTTCCAAAACAGTTCCTCCACTTAATGCGATCTAGAGCTTTCTCCTTCAAATGAAAATATCCTCTTCTGTCCCCAAGGTCATCCAGCATCTTCTTACGTCTTCTTCCTCGTCTTCTGGTCACTTCTATCAGCCCCTCTATCTTTCCTTCAGTAACTTCTTTTAGAAGGCAGTTACCGCATAAGATATGACCAGTCCAATTAGCCTTTCGTTACCCCACAACAAACGTCTTGGCCGTGTGGATACTAACCATTGTTTCTTTAAGGGAATGTCGCCAAACACGGCGTGCTTTTGGTTTTTGTCTTATAACAGAAAGGTTGATAAATGCGGAGAACTCTATACAGATTCTTCTTTAAATGAGAAAATCATTTTTCCAATTTTAGGAAAGTCCATGAAACAAAATCAGGTACTCATTATGACCTACATATATTTTCAAGGCTTCCTTATGACTCACATCATCTGCAGAATAACGGGGAAAATTTGTTTTAAGCATTAACTGTGGTCATAACAAGTATACGGGTACATAACACTACATAATGTAGGGCTCTTAGTCTCAAGTGCATTATCCTTGGAAGCAAAACAATATAATTTGTTTTGGTTCTTCTTATAGTACATCGTGTGCACTCTACATCCCAGTCCCTCAATATTCTTCTGAATCTGTGAATCGGCTCTTCATTGTCCAGGTTTTATTATCCTTAGAACAAAATGTTTTTGAGCACTTTCGTAACAAGTTTCAAAAAGCATTTTGTTCTAAGGATAATGAAACCTGGACAATGAAGAAGCAAGCCACTCTTCGCCAAATATAATTAGAATGATCAATTCAAGAAGGATGAAATAGGCAGGGCATGTATCACGAATGGGAAAGAAGAGGAATGCATATAGGATATTTGTGGGAAACTAAGAAGGAAAGAGACGACTAGGAAGACCAATACGTAGGTGGATGGATAGTATTAAAATGGATCTTAGATAGAATGGGATGGTATGAACTGCATCGATCTGACTCAGGATATAGACCAGTGTAGGGCTCTTGTGAAGACGGTGGTGAAGCTTCCGGTTCCATAAAATGCTGGGAAGTTCTTGAGTAGCTTCAGAATTGGCGACTTCTGAAGAAGGGCTCAGCTGCATGAAGTTAGAAGAAATGTAGTCCGATGGTATGAAACTGTAGATAAAATGCCACTTCTTTTGTAAGCACGGACAGTGGCTGGGAAATGAAGAGGTTGAGACGCCACTTGTTGTCTGTGGTATGCTTGCTGACCAGTGGAGAACATGGGGAACAACGGCAGCAATTTGTTCTTGTGTCTGGCCGCGGCAGGGAACCCTGCAGACAATGGCAACATCTCAACACGAGTGTGGAGATCACGTAGAACAGGCGGAGGACATGCATCTTAAGATGCCGCCTGCTGCTGCTCGTAAGCATGTTCCTGTTCTTGCTCGGTCCTTGAGGAATTTCTGCCAGATAACTAAATTGTCCGACGTTGGCACAAGTTTCCCTTCCCTTCACGCCATCATTCTCTTCCGCGCCCAAACTTATTACCGCAAGTGAATATTAAGTTTACGATAGACACTACAAACCTCTTCATACCTTCATCTGTAGCAAGGGAAAGAAGAGGAATCAGAGACACTAATTGTAAGGTCCGAGGTGGCCATGGCGGTGCCAGAGGGGATTATCATGTTCTTGAATGTGACACCGTATAGTCTGGTGTTCGCCGATGTTTTGGAGCAACGTACTGCCTCCATCTTCAGGGTACAAGGAAAAGCCGAGCAAGCAAATAAACAATTAGTTAGCGCGTCGCGTCTGAGAGTAAATCAAATTCAATGAACTAAGGTAATTGTTGTGAACAGATCGACCGGGTTTCGATTATCAGCAGATACGATTTCTCTCTCTTCCAATAATTCCGGGAGGTCTATGGCACACACCAATCGGGGGAGTAAAATAAAGGTAAAATTATCACTGTGCTTAATTAATCACCGCGGCTAAACCGGCAGAGGCGTGAAGCTAATGTGACTTCTACTCGTACTATTGAGGTTAAGAATGTCTGGAGGATTATTTCTTCCCCCGTGTTCACTCACGCAGTGACGCCCAGTTACATAGGAAACGTTTCTGTGCTACTTACTCAAGATATTGAGGAGACGTTGAGGCTTATTCTGTGCCCCAATGCGTCTACTTGTTTAAGGTTATTTAGGCCCATCTGTCTTTTATCTAGTG